TTTAAACATTCTGTAAGTGGTACCTTGTGATAGAAGTGGAACTGAAGTTTCCCTGACATTTTCAACTCAAATGCCTCTGTCATTTAACCTCTCCACATCTTTGTACAAGTTTATTGCACACTGCAGACTATTGTCTGCATGAAGGAGGAAAAAACTGCCTATTGCACTGGGGTCACACTCTTCTAGATCCATATCTTAGAATTTATATTTCTTTCTAGATCTCTCAGGAACATTCTCAAGGAGTAGCCCATCCTTGGTCAAGGTGGATAGCATCTGTTACAAGAGAGTAGTTAGATCAAGAAAGACATATGATAACAAATCGGTAGAGGAAGCATTTAGAGGTTGGGCTCCATGCTTTTCAAAGAGAAGATGGTGTTTAGGTAAATTTTTAGAGCAGATATTTTGTGAAGCAGCTATTGCCAGGTAACTAGATTTGATTAGCATTTACTGAATTATTGCAACACAATACTTTTGTTACAGCCAAACTTCGTTTGATGCTCTATGCATCATCAGTAGGAACCAGGAGAGGCATGATAGCAGCTAAGGTCTTGTCATCATCTTTATTTATAGGGAAGAACATAAGAGAAGTAAAATGCTTTATCTAAAGTTAAGACTTGCAGTAAATTGAGGCTACATAATGGATGTCTACCTTTCAAAACCATCCAGTGTTGTTTTCCACATGTATTCCTCCAGCAGCATCTTTCCCCTTCCTGTTCTCTTACTCCATGACCAGGAGACCATCCCACACACATCCTACCATAGGGTGGGCATGCAATGCAGTTGTACTGTCAGATGAATGTCCTGTTCTGAAAGTTTTGCCTTTTGGAAGGGGGAAGAGTAGCTCTTTCCCCTTGGTCATTTACTCAGAGTACCTTTTTCTTACCAACTGCCCATAGGTATGTGGTCTCCCAGCCACACTGTGTATCTATTGGTTCGTACTCTCTCATTCCACGTGAAAGACAATAAATACTGTCTGACATGTCCACTGTCCCCAGGTCCCTCCTATAACTGACCAGAATGCCCAAAACTCTGCTCCATTCATTCTCCGTATGTGCGCATTGTGCAAAAAGATTCAGGACACCCTCATTCTGATTTGAATCAATTAAAGTTGAATTTATGCCATGTGCCTCATCTTGGTTGCTAATCCACAACTATTTCAAGCAATTCAGTGTCTGTGTAAGGCAAGGAACACTCCAGCTAAGAGCATAGACCTGTAAGTCAAGTGGCCACTATGCTCTGTCTAGCTCTTGGCAGAGTTATACCCTCTCCATACCTTAGTCTTATTTATCACCTGTAAACTGGCCTCATTTAATTGGGATAATCCTTCTGAAATCCTTAGCATAGAATCAAGTACATGCTGAGTGCTGACTGTTGTTTCCATGTATGACCATTAAAAAGTGCTGTTTATTTTACTCATGTCACGCATATCTTAAGTTTCAAGATCTTCTGTCTCTGTCCTTTATCCTGATCAATCTAGTATAGATCACCAGTTGGGAGAAGGTTCGAAGGAGGTGTGAGTGGAAACAACAGGAGGTCTGGATGGGGGTTAAGCCTGTGATTCTGGTTGTTTACTACACAGGAAGGAGGAGGGTATTGTAGTATAAAATTGGCACAAGTTTGTTTTAGTTGAGCCCGGCAATTTCCACGGGACAAGAAAATCTCAGAGATTTCATGTCACTGCTGGCAATTGTCCTGCCCCTGTTTCTCTAGGAAGCACAACTTCCGTTCATTCTAGTAAGAATGCAAGGATCCGTGATGGAGGGTGGTGCTTGGCATGTGTACTAGGAAGCTATCACCCAAGTGGAGTCTTTATTTTGGGCTGTTCCAAAGGATAGAACTGGGATGGATGGCGGGGCCTGGGGTTAAAGTTTATATGGTTAGAAAGGCAATATAAACAGTTCTCCAACGTTTCTCACCTCCTTAAGACAGTGCAGAATGCTGGCAGCAAGTGGGCCCTCTCAGATTTGCTCTTCCCAGTGGAATTCATTATAAGTTCAGTAATTAAAGATTTTTCTGGGTAATTGATTATCATAGATGTAGTTAGGTTAAAATGTAATACCTTACCATTTGATCTCTTGTTTGGCCCATATCAAAGTTGTTTCTGTTTTTAATATTCTTTTTAATTGAGATTTTTTTTTTGCTTTGTCTACCATTGTTGGGAATTTTGGTTTGTTTGCTTGCTTGCTTGCTTCCTGTTTTGTATGATTTTCTATATATGAAATCTGGGACAGGTAGATCTATAGAGACAGTAACTGGATTGATAGTTACTAGGGACATGGCAGGGGGGATGAGGGGAAATGGAGCACTAACAATGAGTACAAGAAGAAGATGTTCTGAAATTGATTGTGGTGATGATTGCACAACTCTTAATATGATTGAATTGGTTAGATTTTATGAGATGGGGGAAGTATATGCTAATAAAACAAAAAATTTTTTTAAGATTTTCTGGGTAAATCTATGAAATAAAAGAGTTGCAAAAAAGATTTTGTTGTTAATTTCAGTGTGGGCAAAGCAACTGTAAAAGATTATAAAAATGAATCTGAAAAATCTGTATGCTAATTGCTTAGGAGTTACAGAGAACACCCTCTGTGGCCAACAAAGCAAACAGGGAATGACAGTGTGAGAGAACAGTTTTAGCTGATGCCAGAAAATCAGCAGGTAAATGCATATTTGTATCCTGAATTAAAGTTTCAGATGTTATGGTATTATAGTATTTTGCTTAAGTGAATTCTAGTTTTAATGGATTAGCTCATCAACCAACCAACTACTGATATGGATCAGGTAGTAGTTCCTGTTGTACTGACACTAGAGTTGTCTAATATGTTAGTAATTCAAAAATTGTTCAAGTCTCCTTACAAGAATTTTGTTGACGCCTCAAAAACTGGTCTAGCAACTCTGTTTCTTAGCCGGGGACTATGGCAGGCAGTTGTGTTTATAACTGTGTTAGTAATACTCTTACTAAAACTAACCAGTATTTTAAGATTCCATTTCTCACAGTATCTTTTTTTTTTTTTTCTCACAGCATCTTTTTATAGTCTAATTGACACATGTTTTTTACTCTGCCCTTGGATTACTGTGTGGCTGTCAATGGGATTATGGACTACTGTGGTTCAGCAGGAACTCCAAAACAATCAGGGATGGTGTAAGCCAGAGGCTAGTGGAGAGGAGGAGAGAGGTTTGGTGGGAAGGTGGAGGACCTATTTGAATATTGTCACTATTAGTTGAATCGTTTTAACTTCTAGAAATTAGGCACTGTGGCCCAAACACAGAAACAAGATAAATTTTTCTAAAGTGTGGTGGTAGCCTTTTAATTTTAAATGATTTTGAATTTCCAATTAATTGTGAAGATAAGTAAAAACGTATTAATACAAAATTGTAGAAACCTTTTTGTGGCAAAATATTTAACAAAAAATGGCGAAGCTGTGTGTGTTAGGGTTCTCTAGAGAGATAAAACCAAATTGCTGATGATTAAATATATTTATTTATAAAGATAATTAGATATATAACAAGAAATGAACTGTTAAATCATATACAGATAAATATATAAGAAATGAACAGGGAAAAAAAAAAGAAATGGAACAGTTAAATTATAAGCACTACAAATTGCTCAGAGTTGTGGGAGACTAGCAGTCCTTCTCCTCTCTATGGTGCCAGATCGCCCTCTATTTATAGAGCGAGGCTATCTCAGCACAGCAGCCAATCACAAGACAGATCACCAACTGTCAACTAACCACCAGTCCCAACTGCCAGTCCCCAGCTCCAGAGATGCCTTAAAGGGACCTCAACTTACAGAGACACAGTCCACAGGCTAGGCGTCCCACAGGGAGTGTAGCCTATAAATTGAGGCAAAGAACGAGCATGGCAGCCGCACACTGGTCCGATGATCAAAGAGCAAGAGACAAGAAAGGTGAGGCTCACTGAGCCATCATCTCTCCGCCCTTCAGTTAATCCTACCTGTGTTCATCGGCCAGGCTGGCACAATAAACTATATCACTGTGGTACCTCACAATAGCCTCCATTTAAGTCTGTACCTTTCTGAAAAGTGTTCCCAATCCCTTGAACTCGTCCTCAAAGAAGTTTTCGCTCTTCAGTGTGCACCATGGCAAACTGACAGGTTGGACACCCCTAAGGGACTCAAAGCACGTTTCTTTTCAATGTTACCTGAGTTTAAGAAGAAACCTGAAGGGCATGATCAGAGCTGGGGATGCATGAGATATGGTTTCTCAGTGAAATGCTTGTAGAACCAGCCCTTGCTACCCTCAAGGAATAAACAGGTACATAATTGTGATGGGAAAATTCCGCATTGCAACTTTCCTGACAGCCTCCTCACCATTGCAGATTTTTATTTTCCTAATAACATCATCGTCATAACCTGTATGATTGTCCTGTGTCCCTTGAGAAAATCTACCAAGATGGACCCTTTAGAATCCCCCCACTCCGAGTCTGCCCTGGCAGAAACGAAAAAAGTTACTATAACCTTCTGAGCTGATTTCTCTGCCTTGAATATAACCAGCCCAGCAGATCCATTTGGAAACTTCTGTTTTAAGGGGACCTTTTTTTAAAAAAATATTTTATTGGAGGCGTGTACAACTCTTATCACAATCCACACATCCATTGTGTCCAGCACTTTTGTGTATTTGTTTCCCTTATCATTCTCAAAACATTTGCTTTCTACTTGAGCCCTTGGTATCAGCTCCTCATTTTCTCCCTCCCTCCTCCCGCCCCCATGAACCCTTGATAATTTATAAATTTTTTTAAATGTATCCTAATGAAATAACATGCATATTCCGAGAGAATGGTCTGCCTCCACCCACAGATCCTAGAGACCTTTTCAAATAGGTTTTGTTTGGAATAAACCCATGCATGTATGAACTAGAACCTTAGTACTAATACTTTTTAATTCACTTTCGTAAGCAATATGAAATGCTATTTGAGAATTTGCTTCACTAATCAAGCAGCAACTTGCAACCTAAAAATTCTTGGCTCTCTTGTTTTCACAGGTGTTGGGACGATGTTTCTTGACAGTGGTGCAAGTGCATTTCCAGTTTTTGACCCAGGCATTACAGAAGGTCCAACCAGTGGCTCACTCTTGCTTTGCGGAGCTTATTGTACCTGAGAAAAAGAACAGCAGCAGTGGCAGCAGCTTGCCTGGCATGAGCCACACACCTGAACTGGAGGAAGCTGTGCATTCCTGGCGGGGGGCTGCAGAGGTAGGACCCTGAATTTGGGGTGGTCGTGCCCTTCAAATAGTAGACATGCTACAGTATTTTGGTCTCATGGTTCTCAAAAGAGCCATTTTACTTACACATAAAAGTTTTAAACTGTTATCATTAGCAGCTTTACTTCATTTGGCAGTGAATGACTTTGTGCAATGCCCACCTTGTTGGGCATATACCAGACACTAAATGGCAGCCTCTATTCAGCCTACTGGTAATGTCAGGGCTAAAGAAACCACAGAGGAGCTGCGCAGGAGCCCAGAAGAAGCTGATCTCCAGATGGGAGTTGTGTAGGAGCCCTTCCAGGAGGAGGCAGGCCGCAAACCTGTGAGCACTGCAGTTAAAGTTCAGTGACGGAAAGAATTATGTCTGCTCTTTTATAGCTGAATCGCTCTCTTTAGAAGTGCTCTCGTCTTTGAGGTCTTCTTGAAGATCTTTAACTGGTTTAACTCTGCCTGCATCCTCATTGTCAGTTCTTTGCATGTGATTTTAGCAGTTCTCCATATAATTTTATCTGACTTCCTGAAACCTTTGAAAAGATTTGCTGTTTTCCAGAACAATTATATTTTTATAAAATCTGACCATCAGAAAGAGACATTCCAAGAGCTTGATTGACTTCATTAGTGAGTGGAGACAGTACAGTGTGGAATGATATGGGTGGGGGTCAGAGGTGAGGAGGTGTGTTGTTCACGAGGACTAAGTGTACAGGTTTATTGGTAAAGATTTCTCCTCTCATGCTTTCCCACACAATCTTGTAACTGAAGAGACCTGCCATGATACGGGCCACAGGAGCTCCCTGAACCATGCTGACATGGAAATCCAGCCCGAGATGGCATCTTAATTATCTAGTGGCACTATAACCATGCCCAAAATGGATGGTTTAAGAAACAAATTTATTTAATCAGGATTGTGGAGACTCGAATTGTTAAATCATGAAGGGGAAGGCTTTCTCATTTGGCCCTGGAGGAGGGCCCTCGTCTCTCTGGAGTTTCTGTTCCTGGGTGATTTTAATATTTTCCTCCATCTCTGTTCTTTTTCTTTGCTTGTATAATCTTTCTTATATCTCAGAAGAAATTGACTGAAGATACAGCACTAGCATAAGAAAGACAATCTCTTCCCAAATAACATCCAAAGAAGATGTTATTATGTGGAAACTGGCATTATGTAAATGTGTACAATGACCATATCAAGCCACAAAACGGAAAATGACCTCATGATTACAGAAATGCCAATACTGCCAGGTTACAATATTTCCAAACAGCCACATCACTGAGACTTGTGGTACCTTAAACAAAAATGTGCATTTTAAGGACACTTCTCATAGTCAGTGACAATATGTTTTTTATAAGAGGCATTTTGTAAAAATTTTTTATTATTAGTTTTTAATCATTTTATTAGGAGCTCATACAACTCTTATCACAATCCACACGTACATCAATTGTGTAAAGCGCATTTGTACATTCATTGCCATCATTCTCAAAAAATTTCCTCTCCACTTTAGCCGCCGGCATTAGGTCCTCATTTTTCCCCTCCCTCCCCTCTCCCCCCTCCCTCATGAGCCCTTGATAATTTATAAATTATTATTTTGTC